GATGATGACGATTCGGATGCAGAAGATAAAAGCAAATCCAAGAAGGGGAAAAAAGTAAGTGGAATATTCATTCATATAGACATTATTATGAAGTTGGTAGCGGTGATTGCGCTCATGAAATAAGTATTTCGGATTTTGTTAAATGTTTCAGCGAGAGAAACCGCCCGAAGATTCGAAAGCGCAATACTTGAAACGATTGAAACATTTGGTTGTTTTGGCCGGATTGCGTTTCAATTACAAGAAAATGTTCGATGGAATTGAAAGCGATAAGAAAAAAATTGATCTGCTCAAAGAAGCGCTAACCAATAAAGGCGTTACGAGTGAGTGCATTGCCTAATTTCATGAACCAGTCGATTGCATCCCACTGATAGTACTTTCTTTTTTTGCGAGCTGAACGAAATTTTTTCTTCAGAAGTACAAAGAAGTGATTTCAATCAGCACTCAGCAGTCATTGGATGATTATAAACTGTAAATCATTATCCTTCTAGAATTCACTTTCTCGATAGTTTTTCTCGTTGCTTGTTGATGACTGAATGAGCAAATTGTTGATAGATCGATAATGTGAAAAACGTTTTTTTAAATATTAAATGATGGCATAAATTTAAATTTTCAATACTTTTTAGCGCTATCAGCAGAAGGTTGTAAAAGTTTCAAACTGAAGCGTGAAGAAGAACAAGAATTGGCCGAATTAAGCAGTAATCGTATTATAGAACCTAACACCAGTTAGTTTTTCTTTTTGAGAATCTCGTTCATTGCTGTGATTTATGAGTAAGGGAAGCAAAAATTTGGTTAGGTCAGTCAAAATTCAAAAGGCCGAAAATCGCCTGTGTACATGAATGCAATCCAACAAATGTTTTGATTCACCAGTTATGCTATCATTGGACTGTTGATGGTTTTAAATGGTCGAGAATTCAGTTCCAGTTACATCTTTCGTTCACCTCTAATTCTGTCCATTCAATGGTTTGTGTTGCCTGCCATAGATGTCACGTCAAGTGAATAAATCATTTTTGTGATTATAATCGAAACTTACATTGAATATTATCTGGAATTTTGCGTGGTGGTATTAATTTGTGACGAATTTGATTTTATCGCACACGAAAAATGACATTTATACATAGCAAGTAGATAGTTTGCAAATTGAGTAATGGCAATAAGCGACATCGTATCTACCTACAACAATATCCAATAGTTGCTACAATGAAGTAATGGATTTTTGTTCCAGCACGATACGAACTCGTTTCTTTTAATCAAATCCTATTTTTTGCCTAGCA